AGAGCGGTTTTTGGTGTTCTATATGCTTCTGAATTGTCAGTAGCTTGAAATTATCTCACACTATACTTTTACTCTCTCAGATTCTGTCAAATATTTGTGTACATTAACTTATTTTATGAATTTGGGATTTTTTTGTCTATTGATGTTCTAGATTCACGCCCATTATTCCATTTTCCCATTACTTTCATATCTATAAGCCTAAGGTGTTGAAGTTTCTATTGCTTTGTTATCTTCTTTACCTAGCAAACTGTTTTCCATTTTTCTTTTGTTTAATACTTTTCTAGTAATTTAATATTGTTCTTGCATGATATTCTAAATTGTCATATGATGGGTGAATGTCTATATAACTGTTGAATTCTTCAGTTTTGTTTTTGTTAGAGTTCTTTCATTTTGTCTTTGGTTTTTTAAAATATTTCTACCATGCTATTTATCAACTTTTGATCCAGAGAGAATAAAAACTTGACTGGGACTGCTCGATATGCAAGCTGCAACACCCATTTGGGCATTGGTAAGTGCCATTACTTGTTTGATTGTGGTACTGTTCAAAATAGAGTTTAATCTGGTATTTCTTTGCAGAACAAAGCCGTAGGGATGATTTGGAATCGCTGGGCTATGTTCTTCTATACTTCCTTCGGGGAAGGTATGCTATTTACACTTGCCCCTAAGATTTATTGGGATGGTAATTAAATTGCCTTTTTGAGTCGATGAATCAAATGTCCAATTTAGTAAATGGTGTATGTTGTTTAGCATTGTGAGAGGGATTAATTAAAATTTGTTGAGTGCTTCTGGGACATAATACAATTGAATTTGAACGTACAAGCCCGTACTGATAACCAGTTTCACTTTGGGGTTTCGTTTAAATGAATGAATAGAAATCCGTATTGGTTTCAACTAATATGGAGTGGTATTTTTATGTATGATTAAGGAAAGTTCTCGCACTATTTAGATATAAGTTCTGACTTTTGTTGAAAAGTTTTTCACATTTGTTTCTTATGTCAATACGAAGTTTGAACTCCAACATTAGTGAAAATGTTTTCCTGTTTTTTTATGCTTTAATTTTCATGAGCTGATCTATCCTTAATTTTAGGTTGTGTGCTTATCTAGGTAGCATATTTAACTGATTTTACCAATATTGCATGAAGCCTTCCATGGCAGGGCCTAAAAGCTGCAACAAAAAAGCAGAAGTATGATAAGATATGTGAGAAGAAGCTTTCGACTCCCATTGAAGTATGTTTCAAGCACTACTTGCAACTTAAATACAATTAGATTTTGATCATTTTAACCTACTGACACTTGAAATTGACAGGTTTTGTGCAAATCACATCCTGTGGAATTTGCATCTTACTTCCATTATTGTCACTCCTTGACATTTGATCAAAGGCCAGATTATGGATTTTTGAAGCGCCTTTTTCGGGATTTGTTCAGCCGAGATGGTATTGTTGATTAATTACATGTTCTGGATTGTTAAGTATCATCTTTATATTGAATGTATACATTGATTGTATATTTGAATTATTGTATTTGCTTAAACTTCTAAGCTCATGCCTTCTCTCATCGGTTTGACTCTTTATTGGCATGTTACTTCTGGAAGGATGAAATATCTACTCATGCACATGTTTAGAAAAATAAATAACAATCTTTGGTGTTTCTTATCAACAAATAATTGCACTTAAATGCAAAATTATAGTAAGAGCGTACACAAGTAAACTTGCAAAATTGTTCTGTAGGATAGCTCTTGAAAAGCAAACATAACTAGAGAGGGATTGGAATTCTCCCCCACTTATTATGGCAATCTCATGGTGAAATTTTCATAATCTAATCAGAGCACTCTTCTTGGGATGTCTGGGATGAAGCCTACTCAACTACCGTGATTTTGGTTAAAACATGGGTTTTGGCTCTGTTGATGGTATTTTGCACCTCGTAATTACATGATATTTTGGGTTGGGCTGAATGAAGGGAGTAGGTTGGCTTTTGATTATTTGACATTCAGTTTTCTCTTTTTCTCATAGTTTTTTTTATCCCTATGTGTTTTTAACTCTTCTATGTTTATTCATTGCGTTGCATATTTTCTGTACTCGTAATTAAATTTCCTTCACTGTAAATTCTCTTTTTTTAGTGCCACGTATAATTCTTGCTAAGTATAAAATTCCTGTGTAGGATGTTACTGCTTTTATACTAAACATCAATTCAAAGTTCCCTTCTCTGTTCATGACAGGATATGAATTTGACTACATTTTTGACTGGACAATTCTAAAATATCAGCAAGCCCATAGGACAAAGCCTCAACCTCGGTTTTCTGTAAGTATGCTGCATACATTAAGTTTAGCCTTCTTTTGTAAGGTTATACTGGAAAATAAATTGTGCTCGGTCTAATTTTTGCTCTTTTCTTTTCACAATTATTATATACTGTAATTATGGAATTAGCTTAAAAGGGTTTTATTTGAAAAAATAGATGACCAGAAAATAATTTAATTTCATTTCGAAGAATTATGAATTTTTATCTTGTTTTTTTGCAGCCATTTACTTCGTTTCAGTTCTTAGTTAGAGCAAGAAATCTGAGATTTCTATCAAGTTTCTTATCTCAGAATGCCTTTTGCTGCCTGTTATGCTATCAACCAACTTGTAATTTTCATTGATGCATTTTGAGTTTATTACACTTCTAGAGGACTAGAGGATATATGGAAGTAATACATAAGGGAGATCGGCTTATTATGAAATTAGGTTAAGTAGTCTGTTAACACTCAAAACATAGGAGTAAAATTGTCCTTTGAAAGAAATAAAAGAATTGTAGCGGGGAGGGAATTTATCACTGTTATTTAGGAATTTTCTTTTGCAGTCACTCTTTTTAGTTTTGTTGCCTTCATGTCTCAGGATGCCGTTTGCCGGCTGTTGTGCCATCTTTAAATTTGTATCTTTATTGATGCATTTTGGTTTGTTCATCTTAGAGGCCTAGATGATATATGGAAGTACTAAATTGAGGGACGTAAGCTTATTATGAGGCTAGGTCAAGTAATCTTTTAATTCTAAATTTTGAAGTAAAATTGTCCTTTGAAAGAGTTGTAGTGGGAAGGAACTTGGGTCGCTTTAATACAGGAATTATCCTTTGCTAGTGTTCTTTTGCTGTATTGCTTCCTCTCCCGTGGATCCCAGACTGTTCCAACATAATATTTTATAACCTCAGCACATATTCCAGTTGCATTGCTATTTAAATTCGTGACATCAACTTCAGCACCTTAATGTTTACTAGCTTTTTTGTTTTTTATTTCTTTTAATGCCATCACCAGTCCCTCGTCTTGTGGCACATGTTCTCCGCTACTGCAATAATGACTCACATGTCTTTTTTTTTCTTTTTGGCATAAATGTCGAGTCTTTTATCCTTCCATTCAAAACATGCCATTCCGTTTCCTGAAATAAATTCCAAGTTCTGAGAAAAAATTGTTGAAAAATGTGAGCTCTAATGGAACTTGCTCCTTATCTATTTTACTCTTTATTTTTCTCAATTATCATATACTGTATTTATGTATTTGGCTTTGTATATTTTTCCTAGGTGGCTGGAAAATAATTCATCTTCATTTTGAAGAATTATGATTTTCATCTTGTTTTTTCCAACCAATTGCTTTATGTTTTTTTAGTTATTAGAGCAAGAGATTTGAGATTTGGATTAAGCTTCAGATCTCAGTATTCCTTTTGCTTCTTGTTGTGCCATCTTCAAACTTATTTAGAACATTGACTCATTTGCGAGTTTGTTACACTTGTAAAAGCCTGGAGGATAGTTGGAAATAAAATTTTGTGGACAAGCTTATTCTTATGTAGTAGGTATTCTTTTATTCCAATTTTGGAGTGAAAATTGCCCTATAAAAGAATAGTAGCTGTTGGCCGCTATTATTTAGGGATTCTCGTATATGATAATTTTTTTTGCTTTATTGCCTACTATATTGTTGATTTTTTATTATTCCAACATAATATTTATATGCACAGCACATATTGCATTCCAGCTGTTGAATTGCGATTTAAATCCGTAATATCAAATTGCGCACATTAATGTTTCTTTTTTTTATTTTGTTCATGTCAACGGAAAATTTTGTGCTTGATAAAATATTAGCTGCGTAAGTTTGCTATTGACAATAACTTTTCTGGGTGTGCAATCACCCAATTGAAACTTACACGTTTGTTTGACAATATGATCAATGATCAATATTGTTGTTTTTATTAGTTGATGTATTTATGAGGCATTTTAATCTTATTCAGCTTTTTTTAATTTTTTTAGTGTTTAGAGCTTTTTTTAAAATAGGATTTTCCACGTTTTTTTTCCCTAGGGTTCTTTTTCTGTAACAATGGGAACCTGGGGTATATTATTATTCATCCAAGAATTATTATGCTAAGCTTCCTTTTTCCCTCAATGCTATTTTTCTCACGAAAAAATCTGTTTCCTGCCTCTCTCTCTCTCTCTCTCTAGCATCAACACTTTTGCTTGATCCCTCTTTACTCGGCTTTTATCCTTCCCTTTTCTGGTATCTCCTCTCTTATGTTCTTAGAGTCTGCATCTCCTCAAGCTTCTCTTTCTTCATTATATATTTCTCATGTCATCATCTTTTATATATTTCTACAAACAATTGCAGTCACAGAAGAAACCAAGAATTCTTGATTACTTGCCCACACCAGAACAATTTTTGGCACTGGAGTATACAGTTCTATCTATTCAATTTATAAATTGAGAAGTTTAGTGGTCTATCTCTTCAAGGTATGAATTGAGATGCTCGTCTCTCTCCATCTTGTTCAACATCTTTTTATGTTGCCATTACCAAACAAGAATCTAATCCTACAAACATTGATACCATTCTAGGATTCCTACAAGGTATTTTGGATTGGGATTTAGCAGGGAGGTGGTTGTGGAATGGCAAAGGAAAAGTAATATGCGAGTTCATCGGCGTTTGGAAGGGATTATGGGGATAAAGCTGCTTTTAGTCAGCAGGTTCGACGTCGTCGTGGTCCGTCCCGGCTGCAAACAACTAAGAAAATTCTCAATCGGTGATCTTCGGGCGGCAAGGAAGTTCCACCACTTATTCCTATTTCTTAAGCAAGATACAAACACACCACTTGCGAAAGTAAAATGATACAACACTAAATTATGGTAGAAAATAGAGATACAATCTTTAAAACACACAAACCAAATCAAAAGTCTGAAAAAGAGCAAAATAACAGGATATAAATAACTCCCTCACAGAAAAAGCCTACTTGGAAAGCAGAAAATATGAAATAAATAAAAAAAAGGAAAGGAATTAGGCTGAAATGGGTAATAGGACAGGAAATTGCTGTTTGCCAAGCCCAGGATCCTGCAATATTCCCGAATTTGCGAACCGTGGATGCCCCACGACTGGATCGTCGATTCCGCGATGTGGAATTTTGTGTCTCGTGGGTATTTTGCTCCTATAGTTTCGCCGACATGATCAGCTCCCGCGTCTAATTTCACCATAAAATCTTTGCAATCTAATCATTATTTGTTTGTTGCCGGTCACCTTCCTATTGCTGATTTCACTTTCCCAAGCACCCCCACAAAGTTCTCCATCAATTTTATTTTTTATTGTTCAAAATTCAAAATTTAAATTTGAATATTAAAATTTAAAATCAGAGTTTTCGAACTTTGAAATTATTATGATCCATAAGAGCAATTCTTGAGCGGAACCATAATAGACTACTTCAAAACAAGGCACTTATGAACTCTTTTCTGTCTATATAATAGTGAAACTAGCAGGGAAGAGTTGCTGGCACTACTGTATTGACTTTCTTTTGGATGAATCGTCATTGATCCTGAAGATCAGAGCTTCATTACAGGAGATTCTGTTAAAAAAAAATGAATTGTTTCTTATTTAAGAGGTGTTTGATGTACTACCACCCTAGTTTTCTTAAGATATGATATGTGTCAACCCATTGTTTCTAATTAGAAATCCGATGACAGTTGGTCTTGTTGTTTTTCAGTATCTGTTTGCAAAAAAATTATGTTATCTTAATCCAGGTGATTATCCATCCCCATTCATTCTTCCCATTTAAACTAATATTCTATCTATTAATCCAAAATTTAGTGATGTTCTTTAATCAAAACTGTTTACGAAAAACTATTTGTAAGGCGCCTCATCCGCTAGCATGGGGATGAATATTTATCTCCTGATTTACCTTTAAAATTTTATGTTATTCAACATTCTTTTATTTGAACTCCAGAAAAAGGTTGTATCGGATTGTACTTTCCTTACAATTCTGATGTAGGTGCGCTCTATCTTTGATGTTTCCATGCATACACATCAGATGCTTCTTGCTCTAGATTTCTGTGTTTCGTTGCACAGATTTATGGTGCCTATGCTGGGATAGGTTTTTCTCTATCCTCAATGTTGGCATACATACACATCAGAGGCTATTTTGATCTAGATTTCTTTGAGTTCTGTGGCACCGTCTTATTGCTCCCTCATTTTCTACGGTCAATTACAATCACAAAAGAATCAAGAACTTGATGGTATTTGTGCACTTTTTAAAGAAGAGTGTTATCTACTTTTAAGGTTTGGCAAATTATACTATAATAAGATGTATGAATTATTATATAGCAAACATATGCAAAACCAAAATCATATGATGAAGAAATAATTGTAATTAAAATTGGGCAAGTATATAGTTTAAGATATATGTGATTTCTGTTAAAATTGGAAATTTAGTTTTATTTATTTATTTATTTATTGGGCTAATTACATATAGACCACCTGAAACATTGATATTAACAAATTAAACACAAAGGCAATTTTTTTTTAACTACCGAATTGATGTAGTTATGCGTGCCACGATCAAACTATTGAGAATTTGATAAAATGAAAAATATGGGTTGGAGTTTTACTATGAATTTTGATATTTGAGTGAGAATTTGAAAAATGATTGAAAGTAGGGCTGTTAATGTTCCGATTTCGAGCCGAGTTGGGGTCAGCTCGATTCGATCCAAAATTTTGGCTTGTACCTAGGCTTGTTTATTTTGATCCGAGCCAAAATTCGAAGCAATTATCGAGCGATTAACGATCTTCAAACTAAATTCGCTAATTTCACAGCCCTAACATCACTAGGGCTCTAAACAATCCAATTCGTCAGCTAAAAAGAAATTTGATCTAAAATTATGGCTCGTAGTTCACCCCATTTATTTTGATCTGACCTCTAGCCGAGCCAAAATTTGAATCAATTTTCGAGCAATTAATTATCTTTGAGCTAAATTCAGCACCCTAGATGAAAGAGGGTGGTTGATTTGTAAATAGCAAGTTTTTGGTGTTTTGTATTTAATTGCCCCTCTTTTCTTAGTTTACTTTTCGTGTGGGATATTTTTTTTGCTTTGCGGGTAGGAATAGATTTTTTGCTTATAAAGTGCCAAGTTTCATAAATTAGTGACCTGTTCTGGATTGCGACCAGAAGGCTCTTCTCATTTGACCAAAAAACCTGATTGGTGGTCTGCTTTGAATCTTGATTATGACTCATGTTCTGTTGAACAATCTAGCATGTCAGACCTTGCCCAGCAGGTTCTTTGAAGGATGAATCACTGTTTTCATTGTAGGTGTTCTTTTGGTAGAAAAGTTGACATAGAAACTTATAGACTAAATGTTGTTTGATTTCGGTTTATTGCAGCCAGTATCTGGTGGTACGAGTGGTAGAGCTACCCCCATGGATGTTGACAAGCGTCAAGGTACTATTTGCTTCCATTATTATATATATTTACTAATCAATTTCAGAGTTCCATGAATTACTCTTAATGATTAATTTATTAATTTAAGTTGTGACTTTATGCGTTTATGCGTAGGCTGATTTAACTAGATCAGACGGTATTGTGTACTTACGTTGAACTTGGCGGATACTTTAGACTGTAGGTGTTGTAGAGTTTCAGCGCTGAATAGTTATGAATTAAATAGCTATATGCATGCCTCAGGCATCCCATCTTCAACTTCCGGCTTATGTAAACATGGTTTAAATTAGTATTAGAATTGATGAAGCTAGCAACAAATTAATTGCAATCCTGAATTAACCATCAATTTAAAACGATGTATTTTATTTTTTATTTTAAATAATGTTGATTGTAGTTGAGATGGCGAAGGAACCATCTAATGTTTTACCAGTCATAACCATTTTTGGAGTGGGTTCATGATTCAAGCTGATGGGTCGTGCTAATTGCTTGTCCAAGTCTAATAAATCATGTGTATGGGGCTGAATTATTTGAGGTAAAAAAAAAGGCGGAATAAGAATTTGATTCATCAAGAATATTCAATGGAAATTTGAATTTAATCTTTTCTTGCAAAATGTGTGTGTGTGTGTTTTGAATTTTCACAAGGAACTAGCCTACCTTTGTAAGTTTTCTGATGCAATAATCTTTGGTATTTAGTATGATGCTATAGAATTTGAAATTATTAAAGCATAGAAATAAAACTGATAACAATAATAAGTCAATAGTGGGAGGGCGAGTGGCTGATTGGTTGGGCTTTTGGGCGACTATAGTTGTTGTGAGATACATTCTATAATACCCATTACGGTGCGGCAAAATTGATGCAGCAGTCTTTCGACATTTAATATCTTCGGATGAAATTCGGAGTTAAAAAAATATAATGATAGCAATAATAATAAGTTGGTTGGAGAGCAATCGGATCATTATTTAAAAAAAGCTAAATAATAATAATTATAGTCGGATGATGTGCAGGACTTGCAAACCCTTTCAATTGGCATGATATTTGTGGTTATTACATTTGTAGTTATTGCAGTGGCATTTTAGCCAAATTGTTGGACAGGAGGTTTTGAAATTTAAATCGACGTTTGGTCAGCTGAGTTGGGAATATTTTTTATTTGATGATTTTTTAAATTTAAATTGAGTTGATTCTTTACCAATTTTATCTATCAGCCTTTGTTATGAGTTGTTTATAAATAGTTTGGGGCATGTGATTCATATTTTTTGTTTTGAATAATATTTCTCTTTTCAGTTTCAATATTGTAAACGTAAGTTGGATGTTTAATTTCTTTGGAGTACAGGCTAAATTTTACCATCTAATTCTAGGGGAAGTTTTCTCCTTGTAATGATGCGAGGCTTGATTTTATTTTTTTATAATAATTTTGTTCCCTTTTTATTTTTTCTGTATAATTTGTTATTGTTTAGTTTAATGCTCTTAATTTTGGCCAATAAATATCCACTAAAATTGGTTTGTTTGCTTGTTGAATTTTTTTATCTTGTTGAAATTTTCAGATATTTGCAATCTTTTATTTATCAATTCGGCTTAAACTCTATTATCACATGTTTGTTTAAAAAAGCGAGTTGTTAGATTAATTTGTAATTTGGGAACTTTGAATCTCTCTTTCCTCTTTTTTTTTTTTTTGCAAGAAAGCATAATTGTCTTATGAATTTGTAACTCTGATTCATCCTGCATTACCTTTCTATTATTTTTTTTCTTCATATTTATATCATTTTGTATCTAATACATAGTTAACTGTGAAGTTTCCGGTGCTGTTGATGTTCAAGAAGATGTCACGGAGAGAGTAGGGCCAAGTAATGTTTCAAGACCAACTGTTCGAATGCAGTTTAAAGCTGCAGGTGATAAGAATTTGGCTTCCGACAGTCAGAGACTTGGCAAGCTGGTCAGTGAATCTTTATTACTTGCTGGTCAACACTTTTTGCATGAAATGCTTCTTAATTTTACAAGAAAAGATGCATATCTGTAGGTGCTCTGCCTAATTTCCCAATGGATTGTATCAAGTCCCGAAGTTAACAACTCTATTTGCTCCCTATTTATATTTTCACAATTGAAAATGTTATGCCAAATCTACTGGGATAGAATTTCTTATTTACTAAAAAATATTAAAATTTTCTTGTTTAGCTGTTTATATAAGGGTTTTCTATCAATTGATAGTTCTAATACATTATTGCTCATAGTATTCTTTTTTTAACTTTGTATTCTTCTAACTTATTTGGGAACATGTGTTTCAGAGAGTAGGTACAGGCACTGACAAGTTTCACATGTCATCCACTTCATTTGTGCTTCCAAGCATTTCGAAGAAGAATGTTGGAGGCTCCAATCCTTCAGGCACAACTGATGCTTCTCATGTTGCTCGCGCTGGGGGAAATTCCGGGTCTTCTAGCAGCTGGCTTCCTGCATTGCAGCGAAACGCTTCAGCCAAATGATAGCGTGATTTATGAAAAATGTAAGCTTTTGTCAATAATTTATGTAGATTTTTTATCGCTTCTAGTTTTTTTTTCTTCTTTTTTATAATGTTCTTTAGATAGAAATTCTATGAGACTTGAGTTGTGAGATGCACATATTTGCTCATGAAGTTTGGTAATTATGACAGGTCAAGTTGCTTTATCGATAATGAAGTGCATCCTGTATTTCCATTACGGTTACCACAGACTCATTGGATGCTAAGTGAAGATCTTTACAATGGTTGACGTGTGGAAAATGCAACAGTTACACTTTTGACTATTTATGCTTTAATTTAAGTTGGATGCAATGATAGCCAAGTTTTTTTTCTTTTTTTATTTCACTCCTTAAAATAGCACATGTTCTATCTTGTGCTTGTTTTATGGCTTGTAAAATTTTCCATTTTGTACGTTTTGTTTCAGGTTGAAAGGCTTGTACATTTATTCTTGTAATAGTTGTTTCAGAGCTAAAGATGATCGTCTGCGTCAATTTTAGCATTAGGTACTCTGCTGAGTAGAGCAAACACTAGTGTTTCCACTGCAGTTTTCTATGCTTTTGTTTATTTGACAAAAATTCGACTTCTGTCAGGTAATGTCGCACAATTTTCTGCTTTTGTAAATAATTATAGGTATTTCACATAAAATATCTGGATTTACTTGTTTTTTTTTATAAATTTTCTTTACTTCAACTTTTTTATCTGTAATATATTCTTGTTTTTATTTTCAGAGAATGGTGCTGTAATGGAAGAATGGTGCAAAGGTAATGCAAATAATGATTGAATATATATAGTGTTATGGTTAATTGGGTGATGGTTTATGAATTAGCTAGAAAAGCAGTTTCAGCTGGGTATTACAATTTTAAGTACTGGGCGCAATGGTTTGTTTATTTATGGTTTCTTGTGCCTGAATTTGATTTATGGAAGTATCAGGAATTGCATAAATTATAATTTATGCCATTTTCAGGGTTCAATTAGTTGACCTTGACTAATTCTCTTAGTTTTAATTCGAGGGAGATTAAGACGGTTTGTTTTGGGTGACGGGTGTTTTTTTTTAAAGATGGTTGTGGAGTTGTGGGAAAAATAATTTTTTTGAAAACTTATTAGTATCATAAATTTTATTTTTATTTTTTTCTGAAAAATTCAAATAATAACTTCCTTAACAGTTATACCCTTTTAGTATATTTGGTACTCAAAAGGCAGTTTTTAACCACAAAAATAATTTCAGAAGAAATAGTAGAAAGCATTAGCCAAATGCATGTGTGACAACAGGTTGAAAGGTAGAGTGGTAAGAAAGCTCCCCCAAATAGACCCTAAATCTGTCTCTTTATGGGATGATATTGTTGAGATGTAAAGATAGTTTTTCATTACTTTTTTTTTTTTGTTTGGTTAAAATTTATTATATGTTTTTCTTGCACTCTTAGATTTATTTTCTGCAAGTATATTGTCCACCACAACGTAATTTAACTAATATCTTCAAGTTTGTTACCAATAGTTTGTAAGCATTATATAATGTGATGTTTTCATGGTGTTGAAGGGCATCACTTATTGTCCTACTTTTATTAAATTTTGTGTAGAGGCAATGGTCATAGAAGTGGATGGTGGTAGTAACTTGATTGATGTCATGCAAAGAAAGCTCTCTAGTAAGTTATTGGTAACAACCATTGAAGACCCCGAATGAGAATGTTAAAATCGAAGGCTTATTCAAGGAAAAAAAAAACTATTACAAAGAGTTATGTATTAACAAGATGGTCCAACATAAGCATTTGCAGGCCTTTCCTTATCATCAGTAAGCAATGGAGGAATCATGCTTTGGTGAGAGAATAAGACAGATGTAATAATATCTGTGAGCTAAAAGTACAAAATTATGTTTGGGTGAGCAAATAATTCTTTTTTTTATTTTTTTACCAGTATATATTTTTCTCTTAGTGACATCGTAGATCCAAGTGAATTTCTAGATTTTTGCGAGAGCAATGGTAGCAATGGCTTATTAAGATAGGAAGGGGAGGAATAATTGATTTGATGACAATGATTTTGCATACTGAAAGATGCAGATTGTGGATTATTCATATAAGAGAAATTTACATCTATCTTTGAGTTGAGAAGTTGACAATTATGACTCAAGAAGATTGAGATTTCTTATAAAGATAGGCGCTTGGAGACGTATGTTTGTCATTGGCAAAGAATGTTTTTAAATATATTCCATGAAGTACTACAACTCATGTGATGGAAGCTCCCATCAAACATGTGTGAGATGCTTTTGATATTACAATGGAGGTATCTCTAATGATAAATTTCTTTGTCTCCAGATGCCCAAAGTTGAAGGCACTTTTTAAGTGTCTCATATCGATGAGTTTAATTTGATTGCTAGTCAGTTGAGATTGATTGACATTAACATCATAATAAAATTCAAGCATAAAGATTGCTATCATCACTACTAAAAAGTTGGGCTTGAACTATATTAGCTATTAGTAATTCAGATGCGTTTGTAAAGTTGAAGGTCCATGATGTCCATGACCTGATCTTTAATGAAGACATAAAGAGTTGAAAATCAAGGGAATCTTCTTACATTCTTGGGAGTAGAGGAAGAAGTGTAAAATGAGACGCTAAAGGTGGATTCAAATGTCAACTGAGGAGCTAATCAAAAAGTTCATGATGGTTGTGTGCTGGTTATGTAAAAATGATTGTGGTCTCATGGAAAGAGAATTTTCACATAATGATGGTAGAAAAAAATTGAATTAGATCAATAAAGAATGAATGGTACATGAGAGATATGATACACTATTCATGTCTTTTGATTGAACGGCATATAAAAAGTTTATTCTTAATTATTTGTAAGAGATTGTTGGACGATTCACGTTATTAATGATGAACTTTTATATTTTGCTGGAGTTTATGATGTGCAAATCAAGTTGTAATGGGATTATATAGAATCTTCACTTTATGAGATGTTTTTGGCTTGAAGAGGAATTTGATTGGGTGGGTTGATAATGAAAGTTACATCTCAAACCTTCTGTAGTAATATTTGGAAGGTGTTGTAGGGTGTTATGTTGATCGCATGTGGAAACAAGATAGTATCATGTGTATGTCAATCACTGAAATTTTGGAATCAATTTGTTAAATCTATTGCTGCTACTGATTTTAGAGGTGCAGTGCGTAATAATGTTTTTTTTAAATGGGTGCTTTCAAAATGACACGGGGCTTACAGGGAAAATGGAAGTTCAAGATGAAGTAGCAAACATGGTTGCAAGGATGATTGTAAATGATTTTATGTTTGTCATCAACGAACTCAGGTATTGCAAAGCTTTAGTGAAGCCATATAGATGATTAAAATGGCATGCCACATGGGGAAGACTCTTGAGATTATGCATGGGTAAAAATGATTATGTTGCCACTTAATGCCATTTTTTTCTACAAGTTTGTCATTTAAATATTATATAAAGAGATTGTTGTATGATATCGAAGGGCGTAAGTTTTTAATCTTCTTCATTCAGTTAGATGTAGAGGTGGATATTGAAGAATTATTTGATAGAGTGATCTTAGTTGGTATAATAAGTAGGTTATTTTACTAGGTGATCAGCTACTACTAGTAAAAAGGCTCGGATATTACAATTGGAAGTTGGATATAGGATGTCGTTGGGTTTCGTCCATCATCAGTTAACATGGCAGGCTGAGAGAGGGATATTATTGAGATGAATGCGAGACGAGACATATTTGAGCGAGCAAATAATTGTATCTTGATTTGTTTCTTGATTAGTGGATATTTTTCATTGTGCGGCTGTAAATATATGTTCATTATATCGAGCCACATAAATCGGAAGAAATCAATTTCTCGTGTAACCTGGGTGGGGTTAATATGCATTCTTATCCACCTTATGGTTGTATATTTGTAATTTTTTATTACATTCACTTGGAACACTCTTCGGGTTTTCTTAGCACTTGTAATTTTATTCATTTGTTCCCACTGTTGTCACTACAACTAATTTTAGATATATTGGTTAAATTTTATTATTTTCTGTGTTATTTGGACATTTTCTTAAATTTAGTACTTCACGAAATTGTATCCATGCCATGCAACATAAATTTATTCTTTTTTTCAATAAATTTTTTATATTTATTCCTGCAAATACCACATTCATCTTCCATACATTCAATACATTTAATAGCTTCTCCAGGGCTTGAGTAATAAAGCATGCATTTTTATTGATTAAAACTTACATTTAAATACATGTCGCCCTATCCTTTGTATTCACATATCTAACACCTAAGCTTTTCTTTTTTACATGTATACCACCCAAATCTTTCATTATCACACAGAAAAAAAATTGCCGTCATTATAACTTTTTATTAAGTGAAATACCCCTTTTAGGTAAGGTGGTATTTATGACAAATTGAAGTTTACTTGTTGCATATGCAAGTTGATCTTCCGAAATTGAAGTTTACGTGTGTGCATTTGTTATGCCCTAGTGTCCTCAAAACGTAATGTATTTGTAAGTTTAGCCAATTAGTTTGCGACTGTTTTTACCTTTTACCGATGTTTTTTAAATGAGTTTTTAAAAACTAAAGAAGACTTTGCTGAATTTTATTTTTAATATATAAGACATCAATAAACGCAATAATATATAATGGTACTGATGTGCCAGAAAGTTTCACATAAAGCCAAAGCTACAGTTAGACGGAGTAAATTATCTACTGTATGTTGTGACATGTAACTTATTTTATGTTTTTTTTTTTTTTAATTTTATGGTTGAATTTTATGGTTGTCTTATACTCTTATACTTTCAACTGAATGGTAATATGTTTTATTTTTATTTTTATTTTTTAGATTATTGGACTTGATGATTTTGTCAATGGGAAATGAATGTATATTGATATTAAATGCTTAATAAATTGTTTGAAGCTTATAGACTATTAATTAAATGTAAAAACAGAATTTATATAAAATAATTAATGTCTAGATAAATTGAAGATGGCAATTTGATAGATATTTTTTAAACTCAAGTAATTGAATATACTCTTTTGATTTTTTTTAATTTAAGTTTACTGAAGCTTATAATGTAAAATTAAAAGCCATTTCAAAAATATATTTTATAAAAAGAACTTTTGTTAATTTTATGATTCTATAGTATATATAAAAAAAAAGTCCTTTTTGGTGAATATGCTATAGCATTTGTATCATTTTTAGACAAGTGAAATTGACGCCAAAAGTTGAATTTTAATTTAGTTGTTACATGGATTATTTTGATAATTATCTCAATGTTTTTAATTATTTGGATTAAAATTAGGAAAGTCATTTAACCATTTTTATTTGTAAAGTTCAAGTATATTGATCAAGTGGATGGGAAAAGCTCGAGGAAATTGAATTTATAAAATTAAAATGGAAGGGTTTTGATTTCCATCGGTCCGCTTTAGGGAGAATGTTATTGAATGCTGCTGTGAGCTATGCAGTACAATTTATCAGAGTCAATTTCAAATCAGAAATGTAAGATTTCGAGAGAAGAAAGGGTTCTCAATCCAACGGTTAAATTTGTATATTGAATAATTATATGCGGTTATGGCTTCATATTAAATTTTTGAAAGCTTAGCTGCATTGATCCCATGGAAAGGTATCGCTAGGGCTGCAAGTGAGAAGATGACTCATGGGGCTTGCACAGTAAGTGGGTCGTGAATTCAGTTTGATGAGCTACATGTTGAGTTCAAGCTTGCCCCACCTTGTCAGCTTGTGGGGCAGATCATATAAAAAATAATTAATAAAATTTTATATTTTAAATGTATTAAAATTCAAGGATTGTCTTAAAATTATTAAAAAGGATAAAAATTTGATTTTATATTTTTATCAAGTGATTTTTTTATTACTTCTTCGTAATGTTCATTATATTTGTCATTTTATTATAATATTAACTGAAGTTAGTATTTTTTTTCTCTTTCATGCTAAAGAGGTTGGTTTGAATGTGTAGAATTAAGCGCAAATTTGATTAATTAATCAAGCTCTAAGTTATGGGTGGCTCGAACTTGAGTTATTTACAGTTAAAGATGCTATGATTTATTTTTCATCAAGATTTTCTAAGATTATGATGTGCTATTTTAATATCTAAATCATATATTTTATTAATTAATGACTTAAGGAAATTATATATATAAGTTGAATTTAAATTGTACATGCTTTGAAAGAGGGCTAAAACTTATAGGGGCCTAATTACATAAAGGGGAGAACAATTATAATGACTGCCCAAATAACTCAATCCTATATAATGACAATTGCATTAGTTACAAAAAAAAAAAATAATAATAATAATAAAATGTTTGTCGATCGCCCGACGTTCTGGGTTCAACCGTCTGTGGTGGTCGGTTGACTATCTGTAGTAGTTGGTGGACTATATGTCTGTCGATATCCGCTCTGATTTGGAGCTTTGATGGCCCGAGTCTCCCTTCCTAGCCGTTTAATCCCTTTGAGATTCATGTTGGCATTATTGGTGTGTGTGTATATATATATATTTAATGCTCTTAAATTTATTTGGGCTAGAATGATGTGATTCCTTGGATGGTTTATACCAAACCCTGCGGCACCATTTTTGAACTTGTTTCTAAATGAAGTATAATCGAATCACGGTTTGAATATCTTTGAATAACTGAATTTGAATTGATTCAAATCAAGCCAAACTGCAAATATTCAAAACTAAACTTCTCAAATGGATTAATTGAATTTGACTTGGAACAAGTTTACAGTCAAAAAGGAAATTTAATTCATGTCAATGAAAAAAACAAATAAAATCATTAATCTTAATTTTTTGAACAAATATACTCAATTTAAGACGTTATTTCTCTATTTTGAGTTATTTTAGAGCCAAAAATGTTTTGTAGAGTTGTTGACCTCATTTTTGGTTGAGGTCTAGAAAACTTCTTTAGTAGCCTAGGTCTAGCCATAGGACTTTCCTATTGACTAGTCTTAGAAAATTAGAAGAGGTACCCCACCATTAGAAATTCAAAACTCTTCTTTTTACTCAACTTGAAATTCCACATATTGATCTTAACCTCTAGCATTTAGTAGGTAAGATCATTATAAGAGAATTCAAGAAGAGTCCCTATAGGATTACTTGGCTTTAGGGTCAACCCTGGATGTTGACTTGGAACTAGGATATACCATATATTCACAATGCATTAATCCATGATTCATTTAGAATGGATATCTATCCAATTCTATGTAAAATGCCTAACTTGGTCTTTTGCCCCTAGACACCTCCAAATTACCTAACTGCCCTTGATACCCAAATTTGGCTAAAAATTCCAAATTTTGCCAAAATACCCAAAATTGATCAAAACTCATTCCAAACACTTTGAATACATCAAAATTT